GAATCAAATCACTACTAAATACATGGGATTGGAATGATTCTGTATTCGTCCCAGATATATGCGAAATCCTACTACCTATATCACGAAGGAGGAGACATAAACCATGTCTCAAAGTTGTGGAGTTACCTGGTATGAATATGGACAATAAATTATGTCCGATATGTTATCCAGTAAATAATTCTGTTTTACTGTATGACAGTTCTGATAAACAGACTAAAACGAAATTCTAATCGACCATAGTAACCAAGTTTTCTGCAATATAAATGCTAATACCGTGTCTGTACACAACAAACCTCTTCAAATCAGGCTAGATTTCAGTCATCAACCCTGTGCAGTATCCGGCCAAAGATATTCTATGACAGCTGATGACACTAATCGACTGAAGAGTTAAGACCGGATTAGAATCTACTGTCTATTGATTGTTTGAAAGTCATGTGGCTGAGCTAATTACGTAACATTCACCCTAGAAAGAAAGCTAGAATATAGGGAGCATTTTAACTATATAGCAGCGCAAAAAATATAAATAAATAAATGTGCAAATGTATGTGAAGGTATAGAAGTAAAGCGGACTTAATTATTGAGAAAAGAAATTCTCAACAACCAACATGATTATAAAGCATTCTGTCATTCTCACCACTGCTATCGGTTTTCAGTTTTATCGATCAAATTCTGTAGTCATTGGCCGTTGACACCTCAAGGCATTAAAAGTAACCAAGAAGCTTAGAGTTCCCTCAAAAAATGGTACTAACAAACGGTAAATTGACTTAACTGGTCAACTAAATGACTTACGCAGAGATATTGACTGCTCACTTTACACTGAAATTGGTACTAATGATGTCATCTAGAAAGACGATGAGAGCTTCACGATTAAACAACCCTGCTCAGAGAACACAATACAGCCAAAACCATCCACTTGAGCTACAAATATTCTCCCCTATGACTTAACTGGTGCCATTACTGTCATCTCTTAATGGAGTAGTGTTTATCTTCCGATCAGGGTACTTCAGTCGTTGAAGACGGTAGATTTTCCAAAACATTTCTAAACAGATCTCTAACGTCACTTATCCTTAGAACTTTTTTCTATACCTTGCATTTCTAACTTATTCTTTTCCTAGCTAGTTGGCTGACTATGGCATATTCTTGCTAAATCTGGGACTCTCAATAGATCAATCTCTAAACTAAATGAAGGCTATCGTTCACAACCATGGAAATTGGACTTCAGTTATATACGTAAAATTGACTTGGGAGTGTAACAGTTTGACATCCGTTTCTTACTTACTTGACATATGGTGACAGGCTGATTTCATCCAGAATTCAATACCGAAAAATAAGCCCATCAGTAAACGCTCGACGATTTCGCTTTATTTTCCCTAGTATAATTGAACAAGTGCATGCAGATGACCATGCAGTTAGTTCACTTATTGGAATATATGAGAAATCGACTGCTGTTTCGTCTAAATCTACAGCTCTTCAACAATTAGAACACAGTGTTGTATTCGTCTTTAATTTTGTCGATTCCGTTAAGAAGAAAAGTCCTCTTGCGAAAACAATGACTTATTGCATAAGTGAGACTTTGTTTACCTCTAGAAGTGTTCTAATAGAGTCTTTGTAGCTTAGACCAAAATGTATAACGGTGATGCAGATGTATACACTCTTCATGACCTTTATTTAATCTTTTATCCTTCTCTAAATATATCATTTTTTTAAACTGATACTCATCAAGGACTGACGTCAGTTGAAGAACCCTTGGAAACCGTGGAGCACTGGATAGTTACTTCTCCCTAGTATGTGACTCCTCAGCAGTGAGCATTCATGTCCGTGTAGGGGATTGGACCCAGGACCTTCAGGTTCTCCGGCCAGCATGTTACCACGGAGTCGCTGTGTCGGAGTTCAGTGGTCAACCATTTCCTACTCCTGTCCGCTCACGATATAGCGCAACTCCCATCCAGTGCAGTCCTTGGATAACTGTCCTCAAGTATGACTTGGTTGGTCCTACCAGTCATGACTTTTCACTAAAATTTCGGAAATCTCATCTCGAAGAAAGTCACTAATCAGCACTAGATTAATAATTCAGTTTGTAAGCTTTTAAAGATTAATTCATTGATTTAATGTTGGTTTTCATTGCGGATTCCAACCCAGTGCCTGAAGGTCCTGTGGTCTATCTGTGTCGAAGAAGTGAGTCCATACTACTGAGGATTCCTATACTCAGACGAAACAGCTGTCCAGTCCTCCTTCCAGGTTACCAGCGATTCTCTAGCTGATGTCAGTCGACAATGAACACCAATCTGAAGTCAATAAATAAATCCCCTTAACCCTTCAAACTGAATATCCCTTTTTGTTATTCTTATCACTATTCTACTTTTTCCCCCTTCTCCGTACGCTGCTATGGGATAACATAACCACATGAAGCATTGCACTTATCTATAAGATTCTACATTGGCATACTTTTCTCCCTATAGTCACAAATTTCGCTAGTACCGGTCATCTAGAACCCCAATAAATACTTATGATTGGAAAATGGCAAACTTGAGAAGGCTGTTGTTACCGATGGCTAGACCACTCAGAAATAATCCACTCTGAACACTCGTTTACATTTATTTATAACTCTGCAGTCTATTGGTTTTTTAGAAAATACAAAATAACCAATCAAAATGAAGCCCATTTGGAGTCTGCATAGTATTGATTGTTGATTGCTGGAATTGAATACACTAAGGCTCTTAATTTTCTAGGTGACTGATACGTTCGACATCAGTCTAGATCATATTGCTACCAAAATGCTTTGAGCATAATCCAATTAAAATTATTGGCGTCCATGTGTTTTGATGCCATAAATTTACTTCCAAAGATCACTGGTTGGAGATGCGTAAACGTTAAAAGAGATTAGTATAAATGCTACCTGGAATTGAATTGCTCTTAGTTGCCTAATTTTCAGTCATAAAAGAAGAAAAAAAAGTAGATTTCTTTTTCAGCCGAATTAATCATTTTGATACTTACTTCACTGTCTACTATAAGTTTTAAAAAGCCAGTTAAAAATGTGTTCAGTTCAGTGTTCATTTGAATTCAATGTTCCAATATCAGTTGAATGAGGGAAATGTATGTAGCCCCTTTTTTCCATTTTGTTAAAAGTAATCATTCTCATATGACTGAAAAGTAACGAAATATTTCTAAATTATGGAAAACAATTATTTAACACGTAAAATGGTTGTGCCAATTTTAAATTAATCTTTCCCTTCTCATTTGTTGTTTTAATTATTAACCAAGAAGGGAAGGCCAACATGAGTGGACTATATTGTTTTCCTAACCATATGATGTATGGAGAGATAAAAGGAGAAGTTCCACACCGCTGTCTTAAACATAAGACAAATTAACTCGTTTATGCTCACTGCTGTACTGAACAATATGTAGGTTTCAGCTCACACCTTGTTGAGTGAATGAATACGGAATGAAGAGTCGATGACAGCACATGACATAACTGATTTCAATACACTTCAACAACTAAATAGTGAAATCTCATCTCGGAAAATCTGAAAATGTCAAACAGTAGAAAAAAGTATGTCGGGAAAATTCTTATAGGTTTAACTTCAGTCCTATTCAGAGATCAGAAGCAATTGAAGTAGATCATACAGTCATGATGAAAATTACCAGAGTAAAGTGGTGCAGCTTATTGGACACAATGTACCCTTTATCTGTAGACTCATACCGAAACTTGGGACTACAAAATTATATAGTCCATTATGTTCACAACGCGGTTCGATGAGCAGCCAATCATGACCTAAGTGGTTTATTGCCCAATTTTCTAACCAGCAATCATCATCGATTTGGGTACACCAGTATTATCAAGGTTGTGGATGAGCCTCACTGGTGACCTCCAAGAAGCATGAAATCTAAGCTAAGCAAGACCTCCTGCAAACTGACTCGTAACACCTGACTGTTTTCAGAACAGTTAGCGCGAATACTCGTGCATCATGAATTTAAAACAAAGCTACTGAGAAGATTCATAAACATTTGAGGTGTTGAAATGAAGCCAAAAAATGTAAGAGGACTACGCCTAAATAAACCTGTCCTGTCCTAGTATTTTACTTCTTAACTGGATCTAATTGGCTTAGGCACATGGCTTTCGATCCACGGGTCATAGGTTCGATCCCCTCCCCACTTACTCATTTCTGAACAGCCAAGTAGTATCGTTATCTCTCACACAACAAGTGTAGCTCATTGCCTATTCGTAGGATATGAAAGTGGTTGCTGAGTAGCTTCGAACTCCTCATTTTTGTCTAGACACGTGAGTTCGACCTTTCATCTAACATTTACATATTTAGGTACTAAGTTGTGAATTTCGTCTGGTAGATAGTCGCGAGAAATTGACAAGTGAGAATAAGTTAAACCAGAGGGTTAAGTGGACTAGCTAACAGAAAAGAAATCGGAAAAAGAATTGTATAATTTAATTTGCAACATTGAACACAAAAAAATACTGAGGTAAAAAAAAGTGAGAAGTCAACGGTGAAAAGCGTACACATAAAACAGAGTAAATAACTAACAGTATATGCGTTTACGCAAGTGAACTGAGTTCTCCTAGTGTTTGACCGTCAATTCCTCACACCGTGAGGACCGGTTGGACAGCAAACACTGCCCTACTGAGTCGTCGTCATGTTCACAACGTCGATATATCAAATCCCTTTCAAGAGAACGTCCAATTTTTAAGCACAGAAAATATAATACTACCACTAGACTCACTACTCGTGTATGTATCAGAGAATAACATAAAACTGCCAACTATGTAGAGAGTACATATTTCATCGACTTTTCGATGATTTCCAAAGTTTTCCTCCGGTGGGTTTTTTTCTTAACACACCAAATTTCAATCCACAAACCAATACTTATCAATGTTAACCGATTTCTGACGGATAAATAAAGTGTATAAACTAAAAACTAGTCAAAATCAGTAATGAATGAAAGATATTCAATTTGTGATAATTTTTGAAAAATTTATGCATATCACTTACTAATATGAATGATTTTTGTTTAATTCCTGATTATGTAGGATAATTAGTGTCTTATATGTGCGCGTATGTGGATTTTGTTTAGATTGTATAGGAGTTAATCAGTCGGTAAACTGCTGAATTAATGAAACATTTCCAAGGGCTCTGTGTACTACTTAATTATGAAAGTGTTAGTAGTGTTAGTAGTTGGACGAAATTATCTCCCGAGTAAATTTATCCACTTTATCACTTTATGATCATGATTATGACGTTGATGATGATGATGATGATACGACATAACAATCAGTCAACAGAATAAAATTAGACTAGACTGAATCTAATGAAACTGTACAGGATGAGCTGTTTTCCGATCTTGAAATTCAAGTGTGTGCGTGTGTGTACGTATGCGCCTGCTCCCGTGCTCTCGTATGCCTGCAACAGTTCTTTAAGCTATTCACCCACTGAAGTTTATATGAGCTAAGGAAGTGAAGAACAAGTATGTTCTGATGTAAGCTTCTTTTGATTCAGATGACAGTATTGAAATTATGACAACCGGTGGTGATTAGGGATAGTAAGAGTTTGAGTCGCAGCAGCATCAGCATCAGACACTGGTATTTCCTGCTTAATCCAGAGATAGGAATTTCTGTGGTTTATGTATATATATATATATATATATATATATATATATATAATTGAGCTGAAGAATGAGTACGTGCATACGTTCAAACAACAAACATTGAACCTTTCGGGTTGGTTTAAACTAGATAGACTGGGGAAAAACTCAACTATCATTGGTTAAAACTGATTTATTGTGATTATTATATGCTTCCTTAACTCTGAGTTCTATCCTCTTCTCCTTTCTCTGTCACTAGTCTCTGTCAGTTAAAATTATACCAGTAAAATGAAGAAATTACCTCATTTCGAAAAATTGTTATTCTTTCGCATTGATAATCCTGTGATTTCTCAATTTTTAAGTTATTATTTCTCGTTGTTATCGGAAGTGAATAGTAGATTTTCACTAAAACTAGCGTTTGTTTGCATATTCTGATTTGTTTAAATAATCCACATTAACAAGTATTTGAACTTATGTGACTGCAGATTCAATTCACGTCTAATTCAGTGTCGACTAACAATTAAATTGGATATTTCAGTTCCCCTGAACCTGATCACCAGTGAACAGTGAAGCACTAACGTAACTTCTACTGAGAGTGGAATTTTAATTAAAAAGGTATCTAGAAACTGATCTTCAGTTACAGACATTATGACAGTAGTAACTATGTACTTAAATTGGTCACTAGATGACAAACTATTTGGCGGCAATTTCCTTACAGCTAATAATAGCTGATCTACGAAGTATGAAATGTGCTCTTAGGAAAAATTAGAATTAAAATATAAAACTCATCTCCGGCTGATATGAGTTTGAGTCTTTGAAGGAGAAATGGATTTAAACACGGTCACACGTAAGCTTGACTGATGAGTGTCAATAAGTACGGCGATGAAGTAAGGGATGAATCTGCTGTTGTACGAGTAGAAATCGGACACTTTGGTGGGGTAAAACTGTATATTAGATTGGTTGATTTCCTACAGTGATGAAGGATTATGTACTAGACGACATTTCAAGTATAAGTCGTATATGAATGACCTAACCACTTTCAATTTTCCTTCTTATAGTTCAAATACCAGTGTTTATAGTAAAGAAACATACCTGGATATATACTTGGATTTCATGTCATCTCACCCCATATCTGTCAAGGTAGGCTTAATAAAAGGTTCAAATAATCGGGATGGGAGTTCGACTAGTAATTCAGAAAACCTAAATAAGAAAATGGAACACATCAAAGAGACACTACTTCTTAATAACCGCCATCCGGAATTTATTAAAAACTTTATAAAGACTGATAAGAGAAGGAATGGAAATGTTAGTGGTGAATGCAACATGTCCAGAGGGAATTCAAATCCTCTCTAGTGTTGCAGTATAAAGAAATTTATGTAGAATACACAACAAATGCTGGGATTAGGATGGTATGTAAACGCATAAACTCACACAGAGAGAAACTTTGTAGGCTTGATGATCAAATGGAACCAATTAAGCAAAATAATATAATCAACCTATCTATCAAATACCATGTGATGAATGTGGGTTCAAGTACATAGATCAAAGTAGTCTATCACGGTAAGCGAGAATAGTTGAGTACAAAAATGTAGCTGAGCATAGAATGATAGACCCTACTGAGATAATTTGTTTTGAGAAAAATATGGCTATTCTTCTCCATGCACTGACCCGTAATCATATTATAGGGTGGAATGGGGTAAAACTGTAAACTTCAGTATGGCAAGTAGGTATGAGAAGTGACTGATTACAGAATCCTGTGTTCATCAAATTAACGTCTATTGAATGCAACAGAATGATTTTTCGTGCATTGCAAACATTTGGAAAAAGTCACTGCCGCTGAAAACAGAGAATAAGAGTTGAAAGAACGATCAAAATCAGACGTCAAAAGTTGTGTTATTTCTTTGATACGACTATCAGTAGTGGAAACTGCTCAAAATGTCAACCAGTAGATAGAACTGCATCACTAAGTGTGTACTGTTATATCACAAGGAACAAATGCAGTACAAAACAATGAGTTTATTTTGTTTTTCAAGGCATGCAAAATATTAGGAATCAGTGGCTGCTGTATCTCAGCCACTGTATGAATCATGAAACTGTATCATCTAAGGTCCTTAACTGTCTCTAGTTACCACTTATGGAGTTTCAAATGAGAACTATGAAATCTATTGCATGGATGTCACAAACAGTCAGTGATTTCAATAATTTATCATCACACCTTAAATGACAACTAATTCATGCCTAAAATGGATGATACGTAAAGACTGTGGCACTACTAGTGACCCGTCTTCTCAAGATGACGGTGTTCATCACTGACAGATTCATACTGTATTACTCCACTACGTAATCATGTATTATTGAATCTAAAGACCTTTAAGAGATTTTCTTTTATATGAACTGATGATCAGAGTTTAGCCAACTTAACTGCCTAATGCTTATTACTCAGCACTAATCGAAGTCAATCTATCCAGTATTCGCAATTTGGCCAAAGAAATAAGTGATGTGACCCATTGGTGCATTGTATTTTGGTGGTTGATGCTGGGAGCCAGTCAGTGATAACCCCTAGACCTGAGTCATTTATGGCCTGAATGGCTTTGTTGTAGAAGCTCCTATGCGAGAAAATACTACTACTACTTTCCTCATGTTTGTAGATACGCCTTGATGATGATTGCCACTAAGTAAGAAACCTAAATTAGTCAGGGCTTTCTGACCACTGAATCCCAACGCTTAAGGTAAAACGTTTTTCTTCTACCCAGTTAAACACATTTGTCGTAGTTTCATTTTATTTGTCTAACTTATTATTATTATAATTAGTCCCTTGGGTTCCTAATGGAACATAGGGCTTCAGTAGCACGTCTCCAGTGACCTCTGTTCTCTGAGATCTTTTGAACCTGGCTCCACGACAGCCCAGAAGCTCTCATTTCCTCCTCGCACCATCTCCTCCATGTCACCCTCGGACGTCCAACTCGTCGCTTCCCTTGCGGATTCCACTCGAGGCTCTGGCCTGACGCGTGATGTCCACAGTCGGCCTTCTCAGTGCATGCCCAATCCATCTCCACTTCCTCCTGCAAATTTGTTGCGTGATAGGTTCTTGGTTGGTTCGTTACCAGAGCTCCTTGTTGCTTATTCTTTCTGGCCATCTGATCTTCAGTAGCGAGCGTAAGCAGTTGTTGATGAATGTCTATAGTTTATTGGAAATCCCTTTCGTGACGCTCCAAGTCTCTGAACCATACAAGAGCACTGACTTGACGTTGGTGTTGAATATCCGTATCTTGTTCCACATGCTGAGTGCAGAAGATCTCCACACTGGTTTCAGGCTAATGAAGGCCTGTCTTGCTTTTCCGATTCTGACTTTGACATCCTCGTCTGTGCCTGTGCTGCCTGTAGTTGAAACAGTGCTTCCTAGATATGTGGAAGAGGTTACTTCCTTTAAGTTTCTCCTGTTGATGGTGACTGGAGTTTGTTGTTGTTGTTGGTTGGGTATCTTCATCACCTCTGTCTTCTCTATATTCACTTGAAATCCCGTCTTCGCTGCCCTGCCTCTTCTGTCAACTTGTTAGTTTTCGCCTGTAGATCTTCAAGTTTATGTGACATCAGGCACAAATCATCGGCGAAATCCAAGTCTTCTAGGTCCTTTTCCGCAGTCCAGCGTATCCCCCTCTTCTCGCTACCCACTGTTTGCTGCATGATCCAGTTGACCACAATCAGGAAGATTATGGGTGATAGAAGGCTGCAACCTTGTTTCACTCCTGTCTTCGCTTCACTTCAAACGCATCACTGAGCTTCCATTGTCAATTACTTGGCATGTGGCATCTTCATATAGTTGTTGAATGAGGTTGATAAAGGTTTGTGGTATTCCGTAGTAATGAAGCAGTTTCCAAATTACCTCTCGGTCGACGCTGTCAAAGGACTTTTCAAAGTCGATAAAATTGAGGTAGAGAGCTGATTGCCATTCTATACTCTGTTCTATGATGATGCGAAGCGTTGCAATTTGATCAGCACATGATTTGTACTTCCTGAATCCAGCTAGTCACCCTATTCCGGTCGTAGTTTTGAATCCAGTGCATCTTTAAGCCTCTCCAGGATGATGCGGCTTAATATTTTGCTTGGGGTGGACAGGAGAGTGATTCCGCGCCAGTTCTTGCAAAGACTAAGGTCTCACTTCTTCGGCAGTTTGACAAGGTAACCCTTCTTCCAATCACTAACCAGGTACTTTCTCTTCCTTCCATACCTTCTACAATAATGGTGTGAGCATGTCCTCTGTTGTCTCTGCGTCTGTTCTCAGTACTTCTGGCGGGATCCCGTCTGGTCCTTCTGCTTTCCCGCACTTCAGTAGCTTTATGGCGTTCAGGACATCCATTTTTGTTGGATGATTTATGTTGACTTGTAGTTCAGCGGGTGTAGGTGGTGTTCCTGGACGAAGTGAAGGTGGTGGTCGAT